TGCTACTACAAAGCAAATACGATGAAACGGAGAACCGTCTTGGACACGCCCAAATCCTTCAGCTCCTGAAGCTCTGTCTCAGGACGTACTTCACGTTCAACGGGACAATCTACGAACAGGTGAAGGGCACACCAATGGGTTCACCGATTTCGGGATTCATCGCCGAGGCGGTCCTACAACGGTTAGAATCGCTGGTCTTCCAACACCACAGACCGAAATTCTGGGCCCGGTATGTGGATGACACCTTCGTCGTCATCGAACGGGATCAGGTGTTGACATTCCAAGAACACCTCAACGCCGTCTTCCCGGACATTCAATTTACGATGGAGGAGGAAGAGAGCAACCAGCTGGCCTTCCTGGATGTCCGCGTATGCCGCAAAGATTGTGGTGAACTAAAAACCAAATTGTTCAGGAAAGCGACAAATACGATGCAAGTACTGAACTTCAACAGTAACCACCCAATCAGCCACAAACGCAGTTGTGTAAGGACGCTCTATCGGCATGTCGAAACGCACTGCAGTGAGCCGGAAGACAAAATTGCCGAACTACAATACCTCCGACGGGTCTTCAAAGCCAATGGCTACCCGCGCAACTTCGTCAACCGGTGCATACGCAAAAGGGACGAAAGGCCTAACCGCACGGACACCAAATCTTGGCGGGCACTTCCGTATGTCAAGAACGTTTCGGAAGCTGTCGGCCGCCTTCTCGCACCACTTGGGGTTGGAGTGGCACGCAGAACGGAGGCAACCATCAGGCGTCTGGTCATGAAACCGAAAGACCCACTGCCACGGCTAGAAACGCCTGGAGTCGTTTATCGGATCTGGTGCAGTTGCGGACAAAGCAGCTACGTCGGAGAAACCGGAAGACAGCTCCGAACGAGAATGGCCGAACACGCGGCAGCGGTGCGCAGAAATGACGCTCATTCGACGAGATCCGGCCACACATTCAAATTCGATGAGGCCGAAATTCTCGCAAGAGGTGACAACCGCGTGAGCCGGGAGCTACTGGAATTATGGTTTACTGGCCCCCAGTCCGTCAACAAGTGCAACGAGCTTCCCACTCCATACTGCGTGCTAAAATTTCGCCTAGGCGGAGTAACAAGCCATACAGGGAGCGCAGAGGTGAGCACTTTTCCCAACACCGGAGTCGGTGCGTCAGATGGTGGAGCAATCATCACGCCAACATCCAACGCACGTGATGAAATTGCAGCAATTATCGACTCGAATGTTGGCCATCAAGCAGTGATCACACCAAGTTCGACGATCCCGGATGAAGGGGGGAGCCGTGAATGTTCATAGGTATGCGGTAGCATGGCTACTGCATCCTATAAATACCGCAGCCCCTTGTGCAGCAACCACCCGTTTCTGCTTTTTGTCTCTGATGATGGATTCGAGTAGGAATCCGAAACGTCAGGCTAATAAAGCTCTTGTCCCGGCGATCGTGTCTCCTTCTTCATCGCTGTATATTTTGTCTTCTCAATGTGGAGCGTACTGCCTTCGGCGTTAGGAAGAAGTGTAATCCCTTTGGTTGGCGGACCGTAGACGGTTTTGATCGCGGAAAAGAATTCCTTCCATTCGTTGCTTTCCGCGTACGCTCGAATCTCCTCGGACTTTCGAGCCGTCCAGGCGTCCTGCATCTCACGCAGTCGCTGTTGCACAAGACAGCGGATACGGTAGAATGTCGCTTTGTTATCATCGGTAGGGTTACTGACGTAGGCTTTATGCAGACAATTCTTTTCGGCCGTCAGATTGCTGATGGCGGCAATGCAGCAATACAGCTGGCAATACAGCGATGACTCTAACACTTCAGAGGCCTCCTCAACCGCCCCTTCACCATCTCTAACGCTGCCATCACCCGTCTGCCGCAGTTGGAGACCAAATCTGATCTTAACCTATCGCCCATCAGGGCCGTCCGTCAACTTTACAGCGGGAAACCACCCGGATCAAACGAGATCCCTGCTGAGATCTACAAGCATTTTAGCCCCAACTCACGGATCAACTGACGGCGCTCTTCCAGATGACGTGGCGTCAAGGAGAATCGCGCTGGATTTCAAGGACTCTAAAATCGTGCTTCTATTCATACGGAAATGAAACCGCCAGCTATGCGACACCCATAAAGGCATCTGCTTGCTGAACATCGCTGGGAAAATTTTCGCTCTCATCCTTTTAAGTAATCTGCATAATCGCTTGGAACAAAGTCTCTTCCCGGCCGCCTGCGAGAACTTCGATCCGATCATCAACACGGAGAAGACGGTTTTCATGCACCAACCGCCACCCAACACAGCCCTCCACAATGCGCCGCATATAAGCGTGAACGGCATCCAATTGCAGGTGGTGGACAACATAATGTATCTGAGCCGCACCCCCTCCCACAGCACCAAAATCGACAACAAAGTTGCCCGCCGCATTTCTAAAGCCAGCCAGGCCTTCGGCCGTCTGCAAACACCGTCTGGAACCGTCACGGTCTCCATTTCAACACAAAGCTGAAGATGTACAAGGCAGTCATCCTCCTGACGTTGCTGTATGGAGCATAGACTTAAATTGTGTACATAAAGCAGGCACACAGACTCAACCACTTCCACCTCAGTTGTCTTCCACGAACTCTGAAACTGGGATGGCAGGACCTGATCCCCGACAGTGACGTGCAGGAGCGGACAAAAATTCTCAGCATTCACGCCACGCTGAGGCAACTGCAACTGCGCTGATACGCCACCCAAAAGGCTCTTCAATGGAGATGTCGCCACGGGGTCCCGCCGCCAAGGAGGCCAAATCCGTCGAACAAGGATGCCCTGAAGACCTAACTGAAGCGTCCGCAGACCAATCCGGCAACTGGCAAGGCCTCTTTCAAGACCGACTGACCTCGAGGAGGACAGTGAAGACAGGCGGAGCGATCTACGAGGCAAACAGCATTGCCACCGCGAAAGCCAAACGAGAAGCGCACAAATCTCAGCTGCGCCCACGTCGTAATGCGAAGGCCCAGCCGTCCTCAACGTGCCCACTGCGTCAGCGGACATTCCGAACGTTAACTTGACCTGTTGGACACCTTCGGACAAACTGCGGCACTCGGACTGCACCAACCATCAATTCTCCGTTCACTTCTCCCTCGTCCCCTACACTGTCAACTAACGCTGGCCCCCCTCCCGAACCATCACTTCCATCTTCGTCCCTTCTTCTTCTTCTTCTTCTTCTTCTTCTTCTTCTTCTTCTTCTTCTTCTTCTTCTTCTTCTTCTTCTTCCTCCTTCTCCAAGGTCTCAACGCCTGCCGCTGTGATGTCTGCCATGCAAATCAAAATTTCCCACAATCCTGACACACCAAAAGACACCAGCACCATTATCGTTGACACTAGTGGTGAGGACCTGGTGCACACCTGCCCTCACTGCGACCACACCTTCGCCTCACAGATCGGCATGGACGGTCACTTGAGAATCCATCGCACAGAGACTGACGAACCGGTGCCCGCAGCATCCACATACACCTACCGAATCCGACTCCACTGTCCACACTGCCCTCGCACATTCATGCACCGCATGGTCCTCTTCGGCCACATGCTCTTTCACAAAAACCTGCGGTAGAGAACTGCCGGCTGCGCCACACCATCACGTCCTCCCTCACCAGCATCTCATCGCACATCAACATTACCCACCACAAGCATCAAAATACCATCTCCTGCGCAAATGGAAAGTGCGCGTATTGACTCCGTCTCCATGCGGCTCCCCAGCTGCATGTGTGACCCGAATCTGAGACTATCATGGCGCGTCAGGCGCCGTGGCTTGTAAGGCCGCTGACTGACGTCCCAACTCAGTCCACGCAGCCCGTCCAGCTGCGTGAAGTGGAGTACTGGTGGGCTGGGAACCAGACTGGAACAGCTCCTTCTTAACGTGACCTACAGCACTCTCTCTCTCTCTTATGTGAGATGTACGCCGCTCAACACCCGTCGTGTGAAATCCTGGTGTTTTTGTTCGGGGCCAGATCGTGCATGTGGCGCGCGCAGCCAAGGTCATTGGACATGTCAGCCACCGCTCCCATTTCCCACATCAGCCAACTGACCGGTTCGGACAGTGGCTGAGGCCTGAGAATTGTAAGGGAGAGTGACGTCTACAACTCAGTGCATTCTCTTCACTATAAACAATCTAACGCGCTTGAAGCTATCCTGGTGCTCCAAAAACCGTGTCTTGGAAGGTTGCTAACTGACCGGATACCTTGGGCGTCGCAGATGGCCCAGTGTTCTGTGTTTATTTGGAGTGGCTGTTTGGTGGTCTAAGAGTCAGGCTACAATGGCTCCTTTTTAATGTCACCTTTATGACGCTCCCACTGCCTGGGATCCGAGTCGGGTGTGGCGGCACGCCCATATGTGGCTTCGGCTGTACCAGCCACGTGCACCCTCCCCCGCTTCCGGTCTTTTCGACTCTGTTATGACACCGGATCCAGGTGGGGATTAGGGAAGAAGGAGAGAGCGGTAGACGCTGCGCAGGTTTGCTATCACTTTAAACTAATTCACGCGCAAATCACCGTGTCTGCTGCACCCTGCTGTGGATCATAAGGTCGACCTTATCCGAAACGAAGTTCAAACTGTCGTGTGTGTGTTTAGTGCTCCCAACCGGGCCACGTTGTAGATGCGTTGGATCAACACCGGCGCCATATCGCACACTGGCAGGCGTTATCGGATTGCGCCCTACAACAAATGCCAACATTTCGGGGAGTGGTAGCAAACTCGGTTGCCCGCGTACGTCGCGCACACTGGGACCCCTACCAATCTCCCTTGTTGTTGTTGTTGGTCAAAAACCTGGTCATTTGCTATGTGGACCAGGTGGTGTGGAGTGGGGCGCCAAAGTGTGGACTCGACCTGCCATCCACCTGCACCCTCCCCCGCCTCCGATCTTCTTGACTTTGTCTTCACACCGGGTGCAGGTGGGGTAGGAGGGAGTGCAGTAGACGCTGCGTAATTCTCCTATCATCATAAACTATGTCACGCGCAAATGGCCATGCCTGCTCTCAGCTCGCTGTAGAGCACACGGTGGACATCGTCGGAAACGACGGTCGAACTGTCGTATGCTCTTAACTTTAACTTTCCTCAGCCATGCCGGTAGGTGTTCTCGTATTGTTATGTGATAGGCGCCGACTCATACGAGCAATAAAACCTGCTCCACAGGAGCAGGTAAAGGCGTAAATGCACAGGGAGGTAACATTTCCACCATTTGTTCCTTTTCCAAATGCGGCAGCATGTGCGGCCTTAAGGCAGAGTTTCTAGGGCAGAAAGAAACGCCTGTTTTCAACTTTGACACCTGCGTAGCTCGACGAGTATCACAGCTAGGCAAGCATTTAATCATACGTCACGCTAGACACAAAAAGCGCATGTGCAATTAACAAGATGTTAACTCCATTTGAAAAGGAATCACGGCCGAATGCAAATTAAGGACGCATGTGTACTTTGTTTATGCGAGTAGGCACACATGTTTTTATTTTTTTAGAATGAGACTGGCGTTTTTATCAATCGGACTATTGCGCACACTGCAAAAGTAACAGAATTAAAAAGTGGTCTTCGCATTTGGGTACTTGGAAGAATATCAGTAAACGTGGATCCCAACACGCAAAAATACTGTCTTAAGAAATAGTTCGAGGTCTGATACCTTCACTAAAATATTTTGAGAAAGGCGTCAAGAAAGGCTAGAAAACTCGACCTAAGAGGTAGAGGAAGATGGTTTGAATATGGTTTAAAATATGTGTAACTGGAGATGATATACATCTATATATAACCAGTGACTTTAGCATCATTCCTTTCCTTAAAGTCAGTTTACCTACACAACTCTCTTCTGGTATGCTCAGGATAGAGCAGCGAAACTGGGCCTTAAATGGATATTCTGAGTAACACTCGCTCGCATCAATTAAATGAAACTATGGCCAGCAAGCTAACACAAAACGGAAGCAAACGCATTGTGTCCTAAAATCAGAGTGCATCGTTACCATCGCATAACTAAGTATTCCGATCGAAGTTGCTGGTGCTTAAGTCTGTGACTTGAATATTTCATTCAATGGCTTAATGGCCGAAGGGCTAATTTGTGACCTTCCTATTTCCCGATGAAAATACATGAGCGGTAAATGCCTATTTCAGTCTACGGTGCTTAGTGATGACGTTTCCCGCCTTAGGACAAGTTTTGTAGGAAGAAGAATGCCCTTCTTGCAATATGTAACCTGAAAAATTCCTAACAAATGCTAATATATTTTAATTTTTGGTCGTAAGCTATGAAGAAAATGCGTCCTGGCAGGTAGATTAATCATCTGTCAAAATTCTTTGGGCAGTTAGACTTTTCCTTGCTCAGCAACTGCTTTTCGGGAAACACTATATGATGAAGATTCGCGCTCGGGTCCCTTGAATTTTTTTTCTGCGGAAGCTGTGGGACGCACTGTTTATTATTTTTTGCTTAAAAGACCACCTAAATCAATTTGCCAGGTAAGTAAAAATCTTCCTGCACAAATATGTGGTGTGAAAATTTACCCGTGAAGGTGCAGTAATTGACCGATCTCCTAAAATGATAGCCGACATCGCGAAATGCGTTTTCGACTAGGATGGGCTACTTAGGTCGGATTGTAATACTGATTGTGATGCGGCATAATCTTACAATATTTCAGACTCGCCAGACTGTTGGCTTTTTAATGCTTTTCTTTGTAACCTCCTGTATAACTCGTACTCGTTAAAAGTGACTACTCAAGTAGCGTACATCTTCCACATTTATTTTCTATGGCCTTACCAATGCAAGTATATTTTGTGGAAAACCTGCGCAGAACTGGGCCTTATCATATTAATTTTATAGCAGATCACGCCATCTTTACATTTCATACAAAAAGAAAGGGTATCTTTTGGCTTTAAAAATGATTCTAATTGTGAAATTTTAAGACCATTCCTACAGCATCATACCTGGCTTCCTCATATTAAATATGCAGCATAGTCTACATAAAGTTAAAAATTATATGAACTATACACTTCATCTTCTTAAATACCTAGAGGAATATATGATTTTATTTACGGGGAAAGTATACACCTTGCTGACCGAAGTCGCCAAGCGCTAACTCAACGGCTGATCTGGCTCCAAAATACTCGAGAATTGGAAGACTTTTCAAGACCCACATATGTAATTCCTCAGAGCACAAATTATGAAGACGACGTAGTTTTCGTCCACATAATTGGAAGAGGGCATATTTTGTGCATGTTTTCTATAGAATACACTTGAGTTCATAAGTCTATCGAAAATCATCGCGAAAAATGCATGCTACATAAGTTACCATTTTTCACAGAATGCTGTTTTTGCAGGAGATTGCAAAGAAGTGCACTCAAAAACCAACATTTTGGCGAGTCCGAAATATCAGCAGATTATGCCGCGTGATAATTAATATTACAGCCCCGCCTAAGTAATCCTTCTTAATCGAAAAATTAGTGTAAAATTTCGGTCAACATTTCATGAGGTCGGACACGGACTGTAACATGCGCTTAATATTTTTACTTTAGTCATCCGTCTTCACAGACGCAAGCGAAAAATTCATTTACAAATTTCATCGCTTCTCATGGCTGTATGACAAAAGTGCTAGGGTTCTAGCCCACTGATGAACTCTTCGGATGCTTTCGCACCACTTTTGGTAAAAATCCAATCATGTTCGGTGGCAGTTTCCAGTTAATAATGTCTCATCTCTGTTGTTACTCAAAAGGTTTCAAGCAAGCGTTTTGTCCTGAGTCCTTTGAGGCGGCTTGAAGTCTAACAGTAACATATAACTACCTCCTATTCGAACATATAAGCGTGCGAATGCTGCATCAGTCAAGTGCTAGGACTGCCCACAACTGGAAATATCAGCGGTACATGCTGCGTGAAAGGCGTTTCTTTGAGACAGTGCTGCACTAGGCGAGAAGTTGTCCGTCCAGAATAGCCAAATCGAAAACGAGTTGGTTACTGCATTCGAACTCAGTAAAACCTTCTTGATGCGCAACGCCACTAGGAAATCGCCGACTTGCTTAGTTCTTTTTCACCTGTTCTGGCACAAAAGGAACGTCTAAAGGCCTACCGCAAGAACCTCCGTCTGACGCAATCCGCATTGTAATGGCCGAACGCTTTACAAAATTAATCAGATGGCATACTTTGAGGTCGGGTAACAAGAGTAGACTTGTCTCACTTCGACTCCACCCTATTTGCCTTGATCATAAAAAAATATATATCTCATCTTCACTGTCCATAAGCGGCCGGTATCACTGTGCCAACGGACGCCGTATAGTCGTCAAGGCAACGGTCTCAATTTACACAAATTACGGTACTCTGAAAAGATCCTGTACAGCCTTGCGTTCTCAAGGTTCGAGAAATTCGAGGACACGAAATCTGGTAGAGTGGAGGTCTCCCGTCATGACTGCCAAGTATCGGCACATCACTGCCTGTTTTACGTCAGACCACTTTGTGCTTGGATCCACTTCTAATTACATCAGGAATACATTGATACTCGCAATGTGTTATTGTGTTAGCATTGCGTTGTGCAGTGTTTCTTTTCAATTAACCAGTAATAACCAAGCTAACATGCCACGGACAATCTAAGAGAT